AAAGTGGTACATATTTAACAAAAGTAAGGAACAAGTCTCAGTTTTCGAACGTGTGATCTAAGACATTCCTTTTTTTTTTTTTTTTTTTTTTTTTATAACTCCCGTGGCGTTTGCGCATAAGAGAGAGAGAGAGAGAGAGAGAGTTTTAGCCTCACCCTGGCCGGAAAAACTCCATGCTGCGAGCCGAAAACCACACTTTTGGCCTGAGGGCTGCGAGAGCTATGGGTATCTGAACTAATTGTTTTAGCTGCTTTACAAACGTATCCTCGGGGGAAAAGAAGTAACAAACCAACCGCATGGTTAACATTTGAAAACAAGTCTCGAGCTCTCCTTCACGAAAATCTATTTACAAAATTTATTCTCAATACCCACACACGCACACACATATCTAATGACTCGAGAGCTTGTACGGACTACAGATACGAGTAAAGTTATTTCTCATTCACTTTTCGAACCGTTTGCTTGCGTTTCCAAAACAGAGTACCTGAAGTCACTTCCGAAATATACGTTTCCTGCAATACTTGTCTAGACCAACGGACCTTACGAAACTCGTCGTTTAGTTTCCGAAATAAACAATATTGTGAGCAACAATGGCTTGTCACATGCATATATATATATGTTTCGGTTGAAAATCTAAAAAAAAAAAACTTTCGACAGCCTACATTTCGCTTGAGAATCAAGTCAACGGAGAGATAGAGAGAGAGAGAGCGACAATACACATATATGTATATATATATTATCAAGTATATACCTAACATTCTTAAGTATGGCTAAACAACGGTTGCACGTTTGAACGTTCGTTATTTAAAAAAAACGGCGCCTCGATAAGCCTACTTAAATACAAATATCCAATGATCGCACTCCATCGCTTTGTTTATTCGAGAACGCGATCTCGAATGTCGGCGTAATAGTCATCGTCCTCGATCGGTATAAAAAAAGGTTGGGTCTCGTAGGTGTTTGTACACGCTACTGCTAAACAGTATGTGTACGGGGCAGTGGGCTCTCGATTAAAAGGACGACGAGGTCAGAGATAGCGTCGACGAGGTGGAGGAGGACGAGGCGGAGTGGTTGTCGTGGCGGTGGTGGTGGGCTGCTGGCGCGGGCTAGTTGCCGTTGGTCGAGCGTTGCGTCGCGGGTATGACGGTGTCGTGCTGGGTGCCGTAGATTTTGCCGGCTTTGCGCGCCATGTTGCCCAACATCTCGATCGAGGCCTTGTGCGCCGAGCGTAGCGAGATCGACCACTCTTTTAGGCTTATTTCGTCCTGTGAAGTGATGCACAGTACATGGTTACTTTTTCTTTTCAAGCTTTCTTGCAGGTACAGCTTTTAGATCATTCGATTCAAATTTTTCACGGTCACACATATGCAAGGGGATGGTATGCGCTCTATAGTACTAATAAGTTTAAGCAAAAATCAAGCTGAGCTATCGATTCATCATTTCACCTGATGGGTCAAAGGGATAAGGTTTTTTTTTTTCTCAAGTGAAACTATAAATGCAACTCTCATTGTATTTGTTTGTCAAAGTAATGCAAACGTTAGTTATCTTGATACCACTTTAGATGACTTTATGGTAAACAGTCCCCGCGATAAATTGCTAAAAGATGCTCCATGTAGTTTTTTCCAAAGAACTTTTCGACTGCATTTTTCATAAAAGCTCAAATTTAACACTCACAGGATTCGTCAGTACGAGTTTGCTCTTTTGTTCCTCTTTGACTCGCAGGGAGATGATGATGCACTGTTCCCCTTTGACTGTCTGCAAGTCCGGACTGACCTCCTCGACCTGTCGACAAAAATCAATGTAAGTGTCGTTGTAGCCGAAATGCCCAATTTTACGTGACAATCGTGTGTATGCAAATCGGCGAGGTGCAAATTTCACCTGATCAAAGAAGAACAACTCGGTTTTCGTGGTGGACGATTCAGAATGTAGCTCCAACCGATTGGGATAAAGTTTGGCGTACCGGGTCTGCCAAGCGCTCGCGAACGGCCCTCCGAGTTTCCTCATGTATCCGTGTAATATACAGTCTGAACCTATTTGATTAAACAACACGTGTAACTCCATGGTCTATTCGATTATAAGTTCAAAAAGTTGAAAAGCTCACCTTTCTCGTCCGTGTCGAATTTGAGTTTTTTCGCCCTCTTTTTCATTTCCACCTGAAATTTTTTGTTTGTTATGAGCAAATGTGATTCAATTTTTAAGAAAAAAAAAAAAAGATCTAATCTCTAATACAAAAAAAAAAAAAAAAACAAAAAAACAACTGATGCTATTTAACAATCGTAAGTATGCAACTATAGATAAAATAACTTACAATAAGTGGTGCAAAAGAGTCAAACTATTACTTATTTCTTCGAGTGGTCTTACATCATATAATGCTATCCCATAAAATCATTATTAAAAATTAACTTTTGGTTTTACTATAGGGTACTTTAACGCCACGAAAAAACATCACAACAATCAGTTGTATTTAAATTCTCGCATCGTAAATTTAAATTATCTGGACTAATGTAGTAATGCTAAGGATAATCACAAAATACACAAACATGTGGCATCAATTTTTTTTTTTTACTAAATTATAGACAAATTTAACCGCAATTGGACTAATAGGTACGCGGTAGCATGACCGCAAGCCTATCGGTACCTTCATTTTTCATTTTTTTAGCGGTTTTTCACCATTGAAAATTTAATAAATGACAAAAAAACACCGGAATAAAATAAAAAAAAAAAAAAATGAATAAAAGCACCTTATCAGCCTCGTTGTTGATGGTCTCGAACACAGTCTCGGCGACCTCGGCCTGCCATCTCTCCGAAATGACGAGCGGAAAGTTCTTGTAAAGATCCTGATCGGCGTCCGTGAGTTTGATGCCCTTGGTGTCCTCCTCGTCGAACGAGCCAATGTCGAAGGCGTCGGCGGCGTTCACCTCGCCTCGGGGCGGTATGAGGGGCGGGGTGTACTTTTGCAGGTAGACCTGCTGCCAGTCGATGCCAGCGAAGAAGGAATGCGCCTTGAGCTCGTCGGCGCCCTCGCCCCCGCAGCCGAGCCGTTTACTGATGTCGCGCTGCAGGAGACCCTCCAACAGGGAACGCAGCTCGCGGGAAAACGACTCCGGCAGGTCTACGTTCTGGAATTTTTGGGGCATGCCTTATCATTACTATCGTTGTTCTTTCTTTCTTTTTTTTTTTTTTTTTTTTTTTTCATCGATAAGTAACATAATATACGGAATAAAAACTTGTGATATAACTCACCAGTTAAATAAATACAACTAAAATAGTATTCATTTTTAATTTTCAATATCTACAAGGACATTTGTTTGCGGAAAAGATGATTCGATGTAACGATAAGTCTATTTGTTTGTTCCTTTTGGTGAAAATTGCAGCAAAACAATAGTATCTGATATATGACTAAGATTAATGATAAAAGAAAAAATAAAAAACTTTTCAGGCTATTGGCTCTTTCATTGTCATTTTGAGCAACACGACAACATTGGAATGGCCCTGGTGTTCAAAGTTGGTGAGCACAAAACCATGCCTCCAGTACCCAAAAACTTTCCAACGTGCGGAGATTACGAACCCGAAATACCTGGTTTCAACCCTATGGGAAAATAAGTTAATTGTCAAAGTTTTTTGCTCGTTCTCATTGCTCCTGGCGCTACCGGGTCACTCCAGAAATGACTGATTTTTATGTTAACGGTACACGTTTGTGTGCACATGTACTTACTGTGTATGTGATATAGATTAATAAAATGTTATTATTACTAAATAATCACAAAAAAATTGTTTATTTATAATTTATATTGCTGCATGATTGATGAATTTTAAAGTAAAAATAACAAAATGGATTTTCTTTGCCTTTGATTAGCACACATTCGAATTTATTGTTCATACATACATCGCAAGACCGCGCACGCCAATATCGCTTACTTATTTATGAATTCGATTTATACTCCGAGCATCGGTGTAATGAAAGTGTCCACTGGCGCCAGCTTTCGGTCTTTGCCTTCATTACGTTCGAGTTTCTGGTGATTCGAGGATAATTGAAGTTTTCTACCGTAACAGTCCAAATACTTTAAATTTCCGCTCGTGTATCCCAATTTATTTAATGAATTGCTATTTTAATAGAAAAAAAAAAAAAAAA